AACGTTACAAGGGCTGTCTTTCTTTTCTTGCTTTTTAATTTTATTATCCACCTTCCCCTGTTTTGTCGAGATGTAACTGACATATAACATATTGGTTTCCAGGGTACAACGTAACTAACGATCGAGATTTGAATATACTGCAAAATGACCTCCATGAGGGGTTTGGTTAACAGCCGTCACCTCACAGGAACGCTTAAGACGTGCTCTCTTGGCAGCTTCCCAGGATACAGCACTGTGCTCACCGCATTGCCCACCCCATCCCAGGACCCCTGGATGACGGAAGGTGTGTCCTCACGACCCCTCGCGTTCTCCCCCCTCCCCCACCCCGGCACCTGCCAGTCCGTTCTCTGGATCTGTGAACTCGGTTTTTTCAGATTCCACACCTGGAAGTGATCATACGGTACTTGTCTTTCTCTCACTCAGCTCGCTTCACAGTATGCCCTCCAGGTCTACCCACGTGGCAGGCTTTCTTTCTTTTTTATGGTTGAGTAGTATTCCACCGTGTGCGTGAATACACACCACACCCTCTTCATCCATCCGTCTGCTGATGGACACGTGCGTCGTCCTCACGTCTCAGCTGCTGTGGATCACGCCTCAGTGGACATGGGGGTGCACGTCTTGCTCAGGGACCACAGCAAGCTTTTCTTCCCTGCTTTGGGTTTGTACTTATATCTCTTCTCTCTTACATGGAAACTTTTGGTTCCTAACATTAAAATAATTACTTATTAGCTTTGACTTATAACAGGTTTAACACAATTTCCAAGTAACAATTCTAATATCAGTACAAACAATAATACTACGAACTGAAATTTAAGACTTCTCTGCAAGGGTTTTCTTGCTGTTGTATCTGACCAAGGATGTGAAAATCAAGCACCATGTTCTTTTTTTTTTTTTAATTTTTTTTTTAAAGATTTTATTTATTTATTTGACAGAGAGAGAGAGATAGTAAGAGCAGGAACACAAGCAGGGGGAGCAGGAGAGGGAGAAGCAGGCTTCCCGCCGAGCAGGGAGCCCGATGCGGGACTCGATCCCAGGACTCTGACATCATGACCTGAGCCGAAGGCAGACGCTTAACGACTGAGCCACCCAGGCGCCCCCAAGCACCATGTTCTAAAGTCAGTCTTTTAAAACCAAAGCGAGAGGCATCACGATGCCTGACTTCCAGCTCTATTACAAACCTGTCATCGTCAAGACAGTATGATACTGGCACAGAAACAGACACATAGATCAATGGAACAGAATAGAGAGCCCAGAAATGGACCCTCAACTCTATGGTCAAATAATCTTCAACAAAGCAGGAAAGAATATCCAATGGAAAAAAATCTCTTCAATAAGTGGTGTTTGGAAAACTGGACAGCCACATGCAGAAGAATGAAACTTGGCCATTCTCTAACGCCATACACAAAGATAAACTCAAAATGGATGAAAGACCTCAGTGTGAGACGGGAATCCATCAAAAGCAGCAACCTCTTCAACATCGGCCGCAGCAACTTCTTGCTCGACACGTCTCCAAAGGCAAGGGAAATAAAAGCAAAAATGAACTATTGGGACTCCATCAAGATAAAAATCTTCTACGCAAGCAAAGGAAACAGTCAACAAAACTAAAATGCAACCCACTGAATGGGAAAAGATATTTGCAAATGACACTACAGATAAAGGGCTTGTTTCCAAAGATCTATAAAGAACTTCTCAAACTCAACACACAAAGAACAAAGAATCCTGTCAAGAAATGGGCAGAAGACAGACACTTCTCCAAAGAAGACATATAAATGGCTAACAGATGCATGAAAAAATGTTCAACATCATTAGCCATCAGGGAAATACAAATCAAAACCACACTGAGATACCACTCTACACCCGTTAGAATGGCTAAAATTAACAAGACGGGAAGCAACGATGTTGGTGAGGATGCAGAGAAAGGGGAACCCTCTTACACTGTTGGTGGGAATGCAAGCTGGTGCAGCCACTCTGGAAAACAGTATGGAGGGTCCTCAAGATGTTAAAAATAGAGCTACCCTATGACCCAGCAATTGCACTACTAGGTATTTACCCCAAAGATACAGATGTAGTGAAAAGAAGGGGTACGTGCACCCCAATGTAGGGTATTATGCTAAGCAAAATAAGCCAGAGAAAGATAATTATCATATGATCTCACTCATATGTGGAATTTAAGAAACCAAACAGATGAACATAGGGGAAGGGAGGGAAAAATAAGATAAGATGAAATCAGAGAGGGAGGCAAACCATAAGAGACTCTTATCATAGAAAACAAACTGAGGGTTGCTGGAGGGAGGTGGGGGGATGGGGTAACCGGGTGATGGGCATTAAGGAGGGCATGTGAGGTAATGAGCACTGGGTGTTATATGCAATGGATGAATCACTAAATTCTACCCCTGAAACTAATAATACACCCTATGTTAACTAATTTGAATTTAAATAAAATTTTCAAAGAAGAAAAAAAAGAAAGTCAGTGTTCTTCCCCAGGTGAGCATCTACCTGGAACGGGTTATTGGGTAAGGCACGAGACCCGTGTTCCTGGTGGATAATTAGGAGTCCTCTTGTGCTGTTCTGCTGGCCCTGTGTTTATCAAGTCTCCAGATGTGTGTGGGTCTTCCTTTTCTCTTCCGCTGATGTGCTCACCCTGGCGCCCAAGCGGCCCTGCCCCATCCCTGGGGCGCCCGCGAAGGCTCCGGGACCGGTAGACCAGTCCCTCCCCTTCACTACGACCACCACGTGCTTTGTACACATCCATCGAGATAACCCTATATTTTCCTCTTTGAATCTGTTAATGAAGTAAATCAGGGATTTCCTCAGGTTAAATTAACCTTGGGGTCCTGGGATAGCCCCGTAAGAACCGTGACCTACATTGCGTGCGGTTGGATTGGCTTCAGCAGTAAGGGATTTCCAACTGTACATCTGTGCTCACAACTACCGCTGGTGACACGTCGTGTTTCCCTTCATGCATCACCTGGTCTTGGTATTTAAATATATTAGAGTCCTAGGGGCGCCTGGGTGGCTCAGTCAGTTAAGCCTCCAACTCTTGATTTCTGCTCAGGTCATGATCTCACGGTCATGAGATCCAGCCCACACTGGGCTCCACACTGGACATGGAGCCTTCTCAAGATTTTCTCTCTCTCCCTCTGCCCCTACCCCACCACTTGAGCTCTCTTTCTCTCTCTCAAAAAAAAAAAAAAAAAATTATATTAGAGTCCTAGAATGAATTGGGTATGCACCCTTTTATTCCTGTATTTTGAACTTTGTAAAACAGGCTAAAATACTCTTTTTTAATTTTGGTGGAGCATGGAAATCTTAGATCGTTTACATCTTTGTGGGAAGATTGTAAATTATGAATTCAATTTCCTTAATGGTTATAGGACCGTTCAGGCTCTCTGTTTCTCTGAGAGCCAACTTCGGCAAATCACATTTTTCTAGGAATGTGTCCTTTTGTTTAACATTGCAAGCTGTCTTGACAAAGGTTATTCACGATGCTTGCCTTCCTAGCCGTTCACTCGGGCACGTCCATAGGGATGACCCCTTTGCGTTCCTCAGACTGGCTTTGTGCCTCTTACCTTTCTTCCTCGGTCCCTGGAGATCTTGCCAGAATTTTGGCGATTTTATTTTTTCTCCAAGAAATCAACTTTTATATTTTTTGTTTTCTGTTATGGTTCCATTTTAAATTTGTTCCCGTTTTTCACCTTTATTACATCCATTCTTCTACTTCCCGTCATATGTTTCTGTGGCTATTTTTCTGCCTTAAGCTGCGTGTTTGGCTCTAATTTCCAGCTGTTCCTTTGCTGCTACAAAGAGCCTAAGGGATCCGTTTTCTGCAGATCTCTGCTTCCGCTGTGCCCCATGATCTCCTATGTGACTCGGCCGGTATTTACTTCTGAGTATTTTACATTTTTTACTGTTTTTTCTTTTACCTGTGAATGATCTGGAAATCTGGTTTAGGGGCACCCGGCTGGCTCGGTTGTTGGAGTGTGTGACTCTTGATCTCAGGGTCGTTTGTTCAAGCCCCATGTTGGGTGTAGAGATTACTTAAAAATAAAATCTTAAAAAAAAAAAAGAAATCTGGTTTAAGATTTCCGAGTGTACGTGAAGCTCTTTCTTCATCACTGATTCCTAGTTTAATCGAGTTTGGGTTAGAAAACGAGGCCCGCGCCGCGCTATATCTTTAACGTTGGTCAAGAACAGGCCTCGTGTGCACATGTGTGCTCAGGATCTGTAAATGTGTTTGAAAAGAACGCACAGCCTCCGCTGGGGAGGGTCTGGGGTCTAGATCCATCTTTAAATCCAGTTCATGGATGTGCTTTCAAATCTTATACATCACTTATTAATGTTTCGTCTCCTTGGCCCAGGAATGACTGGGAGACTGTGCCAGTCTGTGGATTCCCACGCACACACCTGCTTCCCGCGGTGAAGTCTGCACTTCCGGTGTCTCTGCTTCCCCCGACTAAACCACCTGTCACCATGCTCTCACTTTCCCTCGTAACAGCTTCTGTCTTAAAATCTATGTTGTCCGATTTTAATTTAGTTTAAATTTGTGTGGCTTTTTAAAAATATCCTTCTACCTTAGGTTGATGTGCATTCTTGAATTTCAGATCTGTGTCTAGTAAGTAACAGAGCTGGAATTTAATTTTTTATTTTTTTATTTTTTTAAGATTTTTATTTATTTATTTGACAGAGAGAGACAGTGAGAGAGGGAACACAAGCAGGGGGAGTGGCAGAGGGAGAAGCAGGCTTCCCAAGGAGCAGGGAGCCCGATGTGGGGCTCGATCCTGGGACCTGCGATCACGACCTGAGCCAAGCTGAAGGCAGACACTTTTAAATTTTATTTATTTATTTATTTATTTGAGACAGAGAGAATGAGAGACAGAGAGCATGAGAGGGAGGAGGGTCAGAGGGAGAAGCAGACCCCCCGCCGAGCAGGGAGCCGGATGCGGGACTCGATCCAGGGACTCCAGGATCATGACCTGAGCCGAAGGCAGTCGCTTAACCAACTGAGCCACCCAGGCGCCCTGAAGGCAGACACTTAACGACTGAGCCACCCAGGCGCCCCTCCAGGCACAGAATTCTTGATAGACAGTTATTTTCCCTGGAATCCGAGGTCCTTAGGGTTCTGTTATTGCTGAGAACTGCCATCATTCCTGTGTAAGGGATTTCTTTACTCTGTGGTTGTTTTTAAAACATTCTCCTTGTCTGTGGTGTTCTTCACTGTTACTAGGGTGTAGCTAGGTGGTTTCCTTCTTTTTTTAGGTTTATTTATTTAAGTCATCTCTACACCCAATGCAGAGCTCGAACTCATGACCCCGAGATCAAGAGTCACACGCTGCATGGACTGAGCCAGCCGGGCGCACCAACAGTTTCCTTTTCTGATCCCGTGTGGCACACACCGCGTGTGCTTTCCGTGCCTACGGAGCGTGTTCGCCGGCTTGCCGGAGCTCCTGCAGCACAGAGCTGCGCCTCGGCGGCTCACACAGCAGGCATTTACTGTCCCAGCCTTGGAGGCTGGAAGGGCCAGTCCCCCCGGGCTCGTTGTTCCTTCTTTCTAGAACTTAGAAGGATGCGGGGGCAAGGTTTCTGAGTTAGACTGAGGAAAGAAGGAGCTGACACCGAGTCCCGAGACCCAGAAGGTCCCCTTTATGATGAAGCCGCCCCCCAGGTGACCCCTGATGCTCCCACATCTTCAGGGGTGCGGTCCGACTCCGTTTTAATCGTGTCCTTGCAGGTGAGGTCTGGCAGGACCCCACACGTGTGGGAAAGGTTTATGGTTATTATCCTCACAGCCCGCACGGGACCCCAGGGCAGCGCGGGGCTTGGGCACAGGCGGAGGGGGCAGCTGGGAGCGCTGCTTGCCCGCGGTTTCTGCGGGAAGGAGAGCGGGGCCGGGGAGCAGCCTTAGGCTATGCATGCCCCTGGGGAGTCCGTGAGCCTGTGTTCCCTGCGGTGTGAATGCGGAGCTTACAACTCTCTCAAGGCTCCTGGTGTCCATCGTGAGGATCAGTTTGCTTGGGGCTGACTGTAATAAAACATCAGTTTATAGAAATGACAAGAACGGCTAATTCACTGCAGCCCCCTGGTCCGGTGTGGCCTCTCCACAAGTCCGTGGGCTGCACACCGGGCTGCTCCCATGAGCACGTCATCCGCTTCACCCCACGTCTACCCACGGGCCCCCTTCACACAACAGAGTTTGTTTCCTTTTGTTTTTTACCCAAAGCGGAGGTGGACACCAACAGGTTTCCGCAAGTTCATTCGCCGGCAAGTGGGTTGTCCACCTTTGGGTGCTGACGGGGAGAGTGGTCCTCGATCACTCCCAGCATTGGGCAGACCCCCCAGTGTCGGGCAGGCCCCCAGTATCGGGCAGGCCCCCCCAGCTGGGGCAGAACCCCCAGCATCACACAGATCCCCCAGTGTTGGGCAGGCCCCCCAGTGTCGGGCAGGCCCCCCAACATCGGGTGAACCTCCAGCATCATGCAGATCTCCCAGCATTGGGCGGGCCCCCCAATGTTGGGCAGGTCCCCCAGCATCGGGCGAACCCCCAGCTGAGGCAGAACCCCCGGCATCAGGCAGACCAGGGCCTAACCGGGCCTCACCGAGCTGCAACCATGGCCCCAGTCCAGCCAAGGCGTGCTCCGTGGAGTCTGACAAAGCATTTGTGTGTGTTTTCGTCATCCTTTATCCACGTCTTGCTCTTCGAGGTCCTGAATCCACCACGTGGCTGGAAGCAAACTCCCTCGCCTTCCCCTCCCTGGCCGGCCACCCTGGCATCTAACGGGATGCTGGGCTTTGAGCCTGCTGCTAAGTGTTCTCTCCACCCTCTGAACAAAAGGAACTGTGCTTCCAACAACTGCCTCAGGGATTCTGTTCATTTACCTCTGGGGTGCCAGGCCCCCTTTTCTGGGGGATGCTCCCCAGTCACTGTCATGGTCTCCTGCTTAGGGGCTACTAAGATGTGCCACCCATTTCCCGGTTTCTTTACTCGGTGGGCTTGCACACCCCTCCTTCTCCAAGCTCAGCTCCCATCCTTCCTGGATTCTTGCATCCCGGCTGGGAAAGCAGGAAAGCTCCAGGCTTCACCGTCCGAGAATGTCTCTCCCTCACTCTGGAATGATGGTTTAGCTGGGTGACAATTCTCTTCCAGTCGCTAAAGGTCCCGACCTCGGACGCAGCTCCCCGTGGAGGAATGGGCGTCCGTCCACCTGCTGTCCCTCTGAAGGCTGCTTCTCTTACCTCCCTGTTTGCTTTGAAGGTTTTCTCTTTGTCTTGGGTCTTCTGGGTTTCAGCGTGGGGTGTCCAGGTGAGGATGGTTCTCATCCACCCATCTTGGGGCTTGGAGCTCTTAAAGTGGAGGATTTATGCCTGTGATCATTTCTAGAACATTCTCAGCCGTTATCTCTTTGGCTATGGCCTCTGCCTATTTTCTGTATCCTCACATTGTGAAACTCAGGCGAAGTGTGTGCTGAGCTTCTACACCCCGCGTCCTGTGCCTCCGACTCTCCCTGCTGCGGGTCTTCACCTCAACCTTTGCGTCCTGCTGACGTCCAGCCGCCTCAGGTGCGTCTTTAGCTCTGTTTACTAGCTGCTCGGCATTCTCTGAGGTTTCCATTTCTGACCGCAGGTTTTTTACTCCCACCCAGAGCCTGGGAAAGAGATGAGCTTCCCTGCTCTCTCCCGGGGCCTTCTCCCTGTGCATACAGCCTTGAGGACACTCAGCTCTGAGCAGGATCCTTAATTTCACCTCTGCTCCTGCTGGGCACGAGTCCTCTCTCCTGAGTGCGTGTGGACAGACAAAAAGTAACAAAATTGGTAGACCCCAGCAAGACTGAGCAAGAGAGAGGGAAGGTATGAATCACCACTATTTAGGGTGAAAATGAGAGCACGGAAACAGGTCCTACAGACACTAAAAAGAAAGCAAGAGAATATTATGAACAATTTTATGTTAATACATTCATTTTCCATTCCTCATTACTGTTTTGAATTCTTACTGCAGTATAATGTACACATGTTGGAGGGTGCAGATTTTCAGGTGTACAGAGCTGATGTGGGGAACAGAGCTGGTGTGGGGAACAGAGCTGGCGTGGGGAACAGAGCTG